GAAGAGAAAATGTAACGAAAAATTTTTTTTTCTCGGCTGCTCTATTCTCTCCTTTCTCCTCTGCCCGACTAACGGCTTTCAGGCAATATTTGCCTTCCCCAACTTGTTTTTCATCATGCTACTTTTTTGCCTCAACCCGTATTTGCAGTATCATTTGTTTGTTCAGCTCTTTTTGTTGGTGGCAGAGCAAAATGTATTCGTCAACCGATCAGAATTTTATTCTAGCTTACGGCGGATTATTAAAGTAATATTTTTTGCATTCGCAATGAAACCGTCAGCGCGAAATAATTATGATATTTTAAATTTCATTCGAGGAAAAACATTTTATGATTATGTAGCTTTCTGTTTCTGCCAAAAAAGGAAATTTCCCCAAGGATTAGAATAAGATATAGCGGAAAATAAATTTATTCTATGATATTTTGGTATTTCATTCTTGTCCCCATTTCGTCAGTGCAAACATCACATTTTTTTGTTTTCGACAGAGTAACGAAAACAGATAGAAAATTTTTAAAAGGCATTTTCGCAAAAATTTCCAGTAACGAAAAGCGTCATTGCCGTAAGGCGAACAAAAGCTCAAGGGTGGATTGAATAAAACTGACTTTAGCGTAATAGAGCTTTAAACCTACTTTAGCAGTGCTAATGGAAATTTAAAGTTTCATCACGCAAGTCAGTTTTATGCAATCCACCCCGTTTCTTTTAGTTGTATCCCCCCCCCTCCAAAAAAAAAAAACAAAATAAATAAATCCTTGAGCTCCCCCTGAGGTACTTGAGCCATTTCTTTTCCGGTTCATCTTTAGTAATTCCGTGCCGTGATCACGGCGAATCCTGTTTCTTTGGAAAGCTCTCTTGGTCTCCTTCGATTGAGTATATAATGTATGACGGCCTTTGCAGGATCGCTCGGTCGATCCAGGGAAGACGAAAGGGTCCCTCCCGACCGCTACAAATCCACGGCTCTTTTTCCCGGGATGGTGTAATTGTACCTGCTCCAGAACTTTTGAGCGATGGCAACATGCTCCCTTCGTATGAATGGGGATAAGGAGACTTCCATAATTGAACATTTTTTATGCATGGGGAGGGAGCACCAGGATGACGTCAATGCAAAAAGTTTTTAAGTGGGTGTATGACAGTTCTGACGGTAAACAGAAAGTGGGACGGACGGGTTTTCCTGAATAAACAGGAGACCCAGATATAAAAACCGAGGGTCCGAATCTCTTTTTTTTCTGGACAGGAGAATCTGAAGCACTAGAGAACTGATAATGCAAAACGACCTAACAAAAAGGGATAAAATCAAATTGAAAGATGTGATCTGGATCCAAAGAGATAATGAATTATAGTACTTAAGCCGACAGGAGAGCAAGTGCCAATGCGAAATTTAAATGCCTCTAGAGAGCGACGGGCATCAATGGAAGAGTGGAGAGCACGAAGTCCTTAAACTGAAATTTTTTAAAATAAGTGATCAGATCAATTGGAGTGCTGTGGACTGTAGAAACATGAAGGGGTGTAGGACAGGGGTGCACAACATACGGCCAGCCATGACTGGTGGGACTGTAGGAAAAAAGCCACCCGGAATAATGCCACCCGGAAATAAGACCCCCAGATTAGGCAAAGGCAGAAAAGTGCCATCCAGTTATGTTCAGGTCAGATTAAAGACATTTAGTGATATTGATGTTATGTAATTTGATCAACTTCACTGAAATGTTATTAAACATAAAACAAAGTCCAACTTCAGTCCATTCCTTAAAAATGAACATTATGGCTGGAAATCTTTTGATTTTGGCAGTGTCGCAGGATGAGATGATTGCACTCTCTCTGCACTTCTTGGAATTTTTTCTCAAACAATTGCTTTGGGGCCATGTAAGGTTTTTATTTTTGTTTTATCTCCCTCATATCCACTTTCACTCCTTTTCCGGGGAAGTGGAGAGGATCAGGATTAGCTCCCCTCCTCAATCCACCACCTTGAACCGCCCATTGCCCCCACCCCCATTTCCATCCGCAGTCCCTAAGTCTGTTGAAGTCCATGTTCATAACGGGACAGTCCTTCCCTACATTATGAATATAGGAAAAGAACATTTCTATAGAATAGATTTAAAGAAGTGCTTTCAATCGAGATGTTTTTGCCTTTTCCATTCTCAATGAATGGAAACGAAAAATGAATACTATTATTAATTGAAAAATTGGTGGCAATTCATTAAATATTAAAAACATAGATAACAGTCACATAACTGCATGAATGTGTCTTAAGGTCGCCAAGTGAATGTCTTTAATCATCTGATACGTATACATATATATAAATGAGAAATTATTAAGCAATGACCTAGATATATATAAATGAGAAATTATTAAGCAATGACCTGGGTGGCTTTTTCGCATTTTCATCTCGGGTGGCTTTTTTCCGCTTTTGTCAATTCTGGGGGTCTTTTTTCCGGGTGGCTTTTTTCCGAACCCCGATTTTCCGTCCTCAAGAATCCGATTTTAAGGAGCGATGACCTTCTCATTGGCTTTTATTCGTGTCTAAGGAAACTTTGATACTCCATATGCAAAATTCATTCAACACAACGCCCTTCATCCGGTACTTCGGAAACCAAAAATGAATGAAATAGCAGGAAGGGAGAGCGATGGAGAGACAGGGAAGTGTTAGAGGTTGCTCCTTTTCAAAGCAGAAGCTTTTCGGTTTTAGTCATCAGGTTTAATCCTCTCCACAGGCGTCTTAGAGAGGAGGGAGAAACAGAAAAAAAAAGGAACAAAAGGATTTTCTCCCGAACAGGTTTTTCGCCTTTCACCTAGTCAACAAATCGATATGTCCCACAATAATTTTTTCCCCTTTCAAATCCTGATTTGGAGTTAAACATGAGAAAATCGTAATCGGGAGTGAAAATGTCATTCGAGATGTGTGGAAATTCAAGACGAGCGAATTCGAGTTGAACGAAAAATTTAACTTGAGGCCCTGTAACACTTGGCGAGTACTCGCTAGGGCCATTCACTTAGTGTAAAATCCCACTCGCTACCACTCGCTAGAGCCACTAGGTCCACTCGCTTAGTGTAACACCCCTTACTTGCGAGTACTCGTCTGAAGTTTGAAATCTTTCAAAATCGTAGCGAGTGCTAGCGAGTGAGGTGTGAAACTAAGCGAGTGGCTCTGGTGAGTATTCGCTAGCGAGTGGTAGCGAATGGGATTTTACACTAATTTAATGGTCCTAGCGAGTACTCGCCAAGTGTAACAGGGCCTTTACTCTCTTACGGGATTCGGCCGGGACCAAGCATTGACCTTTGAGATAAACGGAATTTCGACTTATCAGGATTCGAGTTAACGAGATTTTACTGTATATGCACAGTCTTATACTAGGCAGCCCTAACCCTAATTTTCAGTCAGATTGGGCATAAACATTTCGGAGGATGAGACATCGCACAAAAGAAGAAACGCGCACTTAACAGGCGGCATCCATGATCGACGCACTTGAACATCGGCATGGCAGGGTCATCGACTCTCTCACCCTACTGACGCGAACACATTATCTTACTGAACCCCAGCCAATAATTTCCATGGCAATTCCACGTCCCCCTGTCATTTCTTCTGTCATTTCCTCCCTTCCAGAGAAAGAGCGAATGGTTCTGTGAAATTCTTGTCAATTCCCGGTCATTTCCACCATAGGTTGTCAAAAGCCTGTAGACTCCCACCATGACCGGGAATTTCCATGCAAATTATGCCAATCACCGGTAACTTTCTTGTAAAGGTAATAACTCCTTTTCTGGAGTTGCAGCCATTCTTCCTTTGTTGAAGTCAAATACCATTGTGCATTGGAATTTGGTTAGCCTTGAATCGTCAGAATGAACTCTGCATGCATTCAGTGAAGGAAATGGAATGGGTTAGGCATATATGGGTTAGGCTCTTCCATCGTTTCGATTTGGTTGCTTTTTCTTTTCTTATTAAGCCCAGCAGAAAATCAGTAAATAAAAAAGGTGATGAGCAAAAAGTTTATTATGACAAGGCCGTCCAGTAACAAAGCAGTCCTGGGACAGCTGGCTATTTTCCTAATTTCCATAAATGTCAACCCAAGGTACATGTCATACGGTGCATATAAAATCTGCGATTAGACTCGCATGCAGGACTAAATTAAACATATTTATTACTTTGGCTCGTTCTCTTGGCTCCAGCACCATTTTCTTGATGGCTCTTACCTCGTTCGTGATCGCACTTACCCGTCTGACGAAGCAGGTGTGATTTCATTGACCTTTCAAGTTGAAATGCTGTGAGCTCGCAAAGTTTCCGAAGTGAGTGGATAAAAATGCTAAGATCTGAAGCTAGCAGTCTGGCGATAGTGAGCACTAACTTACTTAATTATGTCTGCTATAGAACAGTTTAACTGATCAGATTTTTAAAACCACTCTTATCTCGAATGACCTTCCCGTAGTGAGTTCTGTTCTTTCGCTGCTCCCATTTTTACTCGCAGACCTATTTATAAAAACTTCATTTTTCTTGAAAAAATTTTGATTGACGAAGGGGACACATGAAGTAGACTGTCGTGACGAATGCACCAAGGGACACATTTGGAACGAAGCAAATGAAGTGAAGAAGATGAAACGAAGGAAGAAACGAGGACAAGGTTTCTATCGCAGGGCAAAGAGCCGATCTGGGTGGACCGAGACGAAACGAAGGCGGAAGACGAATTGCGAATGGCCTTGGCAGGGTGATGGGAAAGCGAGACCGTTAAACTGAAGTTTGAGTCGGTTATTGCATTCGCTTTTTCCCCAATTTTCACGGTTCATTTCTCTCGTCGGACATGCGTGCGTCACATGATACATACGGAAGGAGGTTAAGAAAGCTAAGCTGGTGCTCAGCCCTTTATTGACGCGCTGTTTCATTAGTGCACCGTATCTCGAAGACTCATTAGGGCTTGATGAGTCCTCGTCATAAAGATCCCTTTCCGTATATTGGAATTTTTCCCCCGAATGGAAGCGAGGCCACGGACGAACCAGACTCACCTTGATTCCCTCGATTGCAGCGACGTGGGTCCGGCGGCCTTGGATGGAGGACGAGGAGGAGACCGAGCAGGATCCTGCCAAGTTGCTTTCCGACTTCCAGACTCGGAAACTCACCTGTTACTTCCGATGTTTCCTGGATAGGGATCGGGATGGAAAGGTTTCTTCCAAGGATCTCCATGCCCTTACAGAGGTTAGCTTCCCTATTTTTATTATTTGCTTGGCTTTCGCACGAAATTCGAAATCTATGAATTTGTATACTCATGAAATATCGCCCCCGGACGACCCCAAAATTGCCCCTCAGTGTCTCTACACTAATTCCGTAATGTGCTGCATACGAGCATATAGAATATTCCGTTTGCCTAGAGCTGTCACTCATATACCGTGTGCAAATCGTCTTTGCGCAAACATCAGTAGAGTGGGAGGGGGGGAAGAAGGGAGAGAAATGAGTCGGCAAGAGAAGACAAATGAGTGGACGATCGATGACGACGATGACGCGCCTATCGACCCACATCTTTCGATGGAAAGATACGGAGGAAATACGCTTTCGACACTTATAATTTTACCCTTTAAATGTCCTTTGTTTATTCCACGTGGCACCATGAAGCGCATAGCACATTTTCCTTGACGTCATTCCCAGGGTTGCGAAGCGAGAGAAATCCCCTCATGCAGGAAATTTTGAATCCGTCAGGGTCGATGGGTGAATCGAACCTGAAGGCGTTTTAAATCCGCCGCGAGATTTCCCAATGCTATCGATCTGGTCATTCTCGAAGTGAACCGAGCAAATTTGAAGTTGACACCATAAACATCTTGAGGGCTGTGGAGTCCTCTCTCATGCAAATTCTTTGAAAAACTTTGCTTTAGTCTTCAAGTTTGGGGGGGGGGGGGGAAGAGACAACGAACCGTCCTCATGTTGAACCCGACGCTAAGAAAAAATGAACTTTTCGACGATTTCAAAGTCCTTGATCTCGGGTGACCGGAGGCATGCGTAGCCTTGAAAGAAAGGCCTATCAGGGGGTGGGATCGAAGGAATCCCAATCAACAAGCGGGAAAAACAACCTGGTGAATGACCCGTTCGAAGAGGGTCTTCACGTTGTTTTCATAAACAAAGTCAGTCTCCGTCCAGCCGTCCTGGAAATCGTCGCATCAGAGTACTGGTGAGTTCTTATAGCTGGTCTATGTCTCGGGTAAAAAAAAGTACTAAGTCTGATATATACAATAGTCACAAATATTTACAATAGTTACAGATATTTACGATAGCTATCTAGAGTGTGTATAATATAGTTTTTTTCCCCATTGTTTTTTCAAGATTAAGAGTTTTAACATTTTGTAGGCGAGGTACAAGATGAAGTCTCTCTCCCTTCTTTCGACTCTTCTGGTGATGTTCGCCCTCATGGAAGGTAAGATGCTTTCTCCTCTCGTAAAGACAAGTCCCCATTCGAACTAGGAAACAGCACGTCATGCGTGCTATTGCGATATTAATACGGCTTATCGACGTCGGCGATCCACAGCGATGGAGGGGAAAGTCGTGAACATACCCGGGGCGAACCTGAGACTGATTTGCGATCCGTTCAAGACGTCGACGTTGACGGAGATGAAGACGGAGACGCTGACCACGGAGGTCACATGCACGCCTGGGACCTTCACCTCCACGACGATCGTCACTGTCACCCCTCCCGCCGCCGGAGGGCGGAAAAAGAGGGGTATCTCTTTCATTCCCATGTGAGAAACCGATTCTTTCCCCTATTAGATGCATCGACGAGTCTCAAAAGTTTCTTGACCATCGTTAAGAGGCAGAAGACCAGACGGAACTGGGTGCACACTTCTAAGGGTCTCCTGCCATCTATTAATACATTGTACGGTCAAGAAGCTTTGGAGACGGACTCGTAAACCGTAGATTTCCTTTTCGAAAATTCTGTTTTGGAATGAGACCAAAAGGTCTCATTCTCTCGTTCAGGTAAATTAAACCTTTGAGCTGATTCAATAAAGCCACTGAAAGACGAAAGGACTCTCAAGGCCGGGGCTACTCATTCCGCATTCTCCCAAGTAACTTATTTATAGGCTGACATTGATTAGAACCGCAAGTGAGGCAGTGGGCTCGTTCTCGTGGCGCAATTTCTTCAACGATGAAAATTAGTAACTGAGAAGTTAAGCTAAGACTGAAAATGTCGTCTCAAGATTATACTACAGTACTGTACGTATACAGTCTCTTTTTCCTTCTTTAAAATTGAATGCACCCCAAAAACATCAACAGAAAGAAAGGCTCCTTATTTCTTATTTATTCGACGACCATTTCCTTCATACAGGGTGGCAAATAATTAACTGAACCTCAAGGAATTTTTTGACATTCCCTCCTAAGGCACACCAATTGACCAACGAATCTGGTTGACATAAAATCCGTAAATCCCCCTGAGACATCAGGCATCCAGCCCCCTCCACGCAAGAAAGGCTTTTTTTGGCAGACAATCCAATATACTAAGCCTCAGCAGGCATGGAACTTTTTCGGGAGCAGTTCGACGGAAGAAACCCCCCCCTCCTCCCCTCCCCTTGCAAACGGGCGATTCACGATTGCAAACGACTCGATTTGACACGGGTGCAACAGGACATGTACACAGCAGTCCACGAATCGAGCTACAACCTCTGTCGATGCTCAGATATTCTCGCATCGTTTCCTTAAAATTATTCATGCCATAAACTGATTGAGGCTTCCGTGACGGAACCTCTCGAGGAGACATTTTATACTTTCATTCATCCTCGAGGGGATCTGAATCGTATCTGGATACCCGCAACGCGAAAAGCCATTCCCTACGTGGACGGGAATGCCCCCGTCCTTGAGAGATCGTTGGGGGAACAAGGGGAAATGACTTCCACGATATGACTCTTCACTGTGAAGGCAGTGATTAATGATTCATTATCTTCATGAGGGCCGAGTTTATTTCTCTCTTCTCCGCATGGAGAACCTATTACTAAAGAGAACGTAAGTTGCTCTACTCGCTCTCGTACGTTTCGATCCTCTGCACACCATAGCAGCGAATCAAGTGAAAAGCCTTATTGCCAATCGGTATTTGCATTACCATAAATGCCACTCGGTCTTTGCATTACCATTAATTGCCACTCGGTTATTGTATTACCATTCATTATCCTATAGAAAGCATGTTTCTCTTTTTTTCAAGCTCATACATAAGTTTTTCGTTTCTTATTCTTCCCCACAGGCAATCGCCATCGCTGGCATCGAGGGCTCCGGTGTTCGTGCCTCACCACGTCGGTTACCTGGCCTACGAACCCAATGGTGGATTTCCAGTGGCGCAACCGGACCTCATCGAAGCGTCCTTCGACGCCCATCCCGTCCAAGACCGCGGCGGACCCGTCATGACCCTGGAGCAGCTTCATCGCATCCTGCTCACGCAGTGCCCTGTGACGTCGACCAGCACCCAGACCACCACCTCCACCAAGACCATCATCGCCACCGATTGTACCAATTGCCACCAGTGTGGAAGCTAATGATGAGAACATTGTTCCCTCTGCTGTGCTTGATGTACTGAAATTGACAGAAAAGTTCGTCTTTTGGTACTTGAGCGTGCTTCATTTACCAAGTTATCAAATTCAATTTCACCATGTACACATTAGCATTCGATTACGACGATAGGCCGTCGAATAATCAAATTACGCCTATTAGGTTTACACTAATGCTCCAAATGTGCGCGACGGCACTCAATCAAAGGGATTCATGAAAGAAGGTGCGAAAACAATGGAAGGAAAAGGGACATCCAATGATTAATATTCCCTCTCAAGTTATTTAATATAAATATCCAGCGCGATCAGATTCGAGAGGAAGCAGGATGAAACCTGAGAGTCCTCTTATGATTCAAGTTAGGGATATTTGAACATGAGTTTGAATTGGGCTTGATGACTGGAGTAGAAGGGTAAGACTAGGTCTAGACCTGCTTTGAAGGGAGAGTGCTGTCCTCTATTGAGTGCAAGATGAATTAAGAGCTTTGTCCTGCCTTGCCTTCGGAGCGGCACCTCCCCGTTTACTTCCCGTATATCGGTTTCCATTATTCAATATTCGGCTTCATTCGGGGCAATGCAAGCTAATACACTCTGTGCCCTCTATTAATGAGATAGAGGTACAGATACAGCAACATGATCAATAGAGAAAGCATGTCGTTCCCCATTCTCCACTTGATTACTTCTCCCCATATCGGAGGGTGAGCTGATTCTTGACTGCCCTCGATTGCCAATCTGTTTATTACTGTCTCGTGTGCAGAAAATTTGCCATTACACGGACTGGTCCCGGGAACACGAAGACCTGGTGGCAGTGCGGGATATGCACACGGAATTATGGACCCACTTCACGGCTCCCGAGACGTCCGAGAACCCTCTGTCTCTTACCTTCCTCACTCCCGAGTCCCCCGATGAAGACGAGGAAAAAGAGGACCCTCAAGGACCAGTGCAGCGAAAGAGTGAGATACCTTCTAGTAGACTCTTTTCCCACAACAAAGAGAACACGCTCTCCGGGGAGTGAAAATTCAAAATATTGTTCTCATGCGAAAGGCCCCAAACAAATTTTTTCATGTCGTCTACGGAGATAAGAAATATCCACTTTTGCCAAAGTTGACTTATGGTCTTTCTAATGTAACATATTCCCATCGTCTTAGTGTAACAGATGAACGGACCAAGTAAAGGTTCAGTTTATTTGTGGAGTCATTGTGAGCAAATGCAAGTCAATTTGAGTCATTTTCACAATTGAGAATCGCGAAGGACATATTTTTGACGTGCATCCAATAGAATCAATCACATTGGAAAAATATATATCAGAAATTTAAAAAAAAATTGAACCATATGTTCTGAATGCGTATGGATATCAGTTCAGGTCGTTCTTAAGGGATGAGGTGATATGACGCACTCATCTCTCATGAAATGGCTAGCAGCAGGAACAGATTAGGCGAGGGAGTGCGTCTAGGAGCGCCTTGTGAGAGGTCAAGCCGCTGGATGTGGCGAAAAACGAACTAAATGTTTACCGAAATGACAAGATGAGCCGTCGTGAGTCACCCCCACCTCTCTTTTGCGAAATTGTGCCAAGGTGTTCGTTCAACCTAGGGGCTCCTGAAATCTAATCCGGTGAGAGTAGAAATTAGGGATTAAAGCACTACACGCTGTTGAAACATTACGCATCGAAATGCAACAGGCGTGCTAAGCGTGCTCCAATGGAATGCGCTTCAATAGCAGATTTCGACCAAACTTTTACACTATCTCGTATGAATGGATCGGAAATGATACCCTCTCGTCTTATGATTGGTTTGAAATAGATCTCCGAGGGCACATCACCCTGCAGTCGTGGCTCAAGAAATGGGCTCGAATATTGCACAAGGTGAAAGCGATGTCTCAGCTCCCCGGATGGGTCCAATTCCTCCCCAAGATATTCTTCCGTGTCATGAATCGACGAGGTCGCCTGATTACTCCCGTCGCCTGACGTCCTCGAGTCGACGCGAGACTTCATCTTTTCTTTTCGCTTTACCTGCAGGAAACGGGCGATTGTGCGTGGCTGAATTAAGAGACTTCTACTCGCATTTCCTCGGTGTTCCTCCCGGTGAAGCTCATTCCCTGGCCAGGAAAGCCTATCTCTCCATGACGGGAGTAAGTCTCCTCACCGAATCAGATTTTCAACGTTTCTGGAACGACATGCCTTTTGTTCTTGTCTTCGATAATGACTGGTGCTTACTACTGCAGACCTATCATTTATCGGCTCACAGCGATCGATGGGTAGAAAATATGTATTATCTAATTATCAGGTACCCGAGGAAAGCAAGAAAATTAAGCAAGACTGGTTTCCAGTTTGAGTCGGACTGAGGATGGTTTCGTCAGCTTTTTCCTGCTGTACACTCTTAGAAAAGAGTGAGCGATTTCCTCAAAGGAGCGAAACTGGAGTCAACGACATTGCTCCCTAAAAACAATGAAGTATCGCCGCTCACCTCTATTTTTCCTGAGAATAACCACTAACTTTTTCTACTAGTTTGAAAAGTACTCTCCCTCCTTCGCTTCGCGTTCTTAAGAAGTTATGGATTCTGCTCATACACTCAGAGAAATTGGTGAATCGAGACGATATACTTCTCTCAATTTTCGCTTTTCGATTTATTTTTCTCATGAGAAAAAGACATCAGCTGGATTTTCGATTTATATCTCTCGCTTCCCGACAGTGCCGGGTCGCCTGAAAGGCGTTTGCAAAACCAAAATGCGTCTATAGCCGAGTCTAGAGGGTGATTTGAGTTGCCTTGCATCGTCTAGACGCATGTTAACCTCCGTATTCCACTTCGTGCCGAAGAAGCCTCCCCCTCCCCCTCCCTCCCCTCCATGAACCCTCGGGGCAATGCATTGACAGTCGAGGGATTCACTCGCATTATCGCATCCAACATTTGATGCGATAACCGCATCCAAAATTCGATGCGATAAAGACGCATCACATGGAGGACAGATTTTTCGCGAGAAAAATGCATCGAACTGAAGCACTGAATTTTCTGTGTGTATAATGGAGTAGTTATCGATTGTACTTTCTTTTTTTAAGGAGTAAAATCGCTGACTCCAGTTTCGCTTCCTTTGAGGAAATCGCACACTCTTCCCTAAGAGTGTTGTCCAACTATGGAAGCAAACGAGTTACAGCTGAAAATTCAAACCTATTCTAGTTGGGAGTATTCTTAGCTGAGGACCAACCTGGATCGAACATTTTCCAACTTCTCGGCTGAAATGAGTCTGAATTTACATTTTGAGGGCAGTTGGAAATCATAGCTCGGATTTTAAATTGGGTTTTCTTGGTTTTCTTGTGGCTTGAAGTTGTGGCCTCGAAATTTTGTCTTGTAGTAATAGACACCAACACTAAGTGCTTCTCATCGCCCGGTAGTTTCAGACTCACTAATTTAACATGTAAGCCTTCTGGGATGCGTTGCCTTAAAACGTTTGTGGAAGATTGTGAAAGTTCTTCGAAGCACAATAATTGCTACAGAGAAGTACATAAAGAAGTGGGGAAGCTTCAGGTATGATGAAAAGTCGGATGGAATGGGGGAGGAGTGGAACTCTACTTGAATATAAAACATTCATAACTCTGCTCCGAGAACTTACGGGTTCGCGTGTTCTATATTCTGTTTCAATGAGACAATGCTTTGTAATTATTAATTTGTTTATCGAGCCGTTTCTGAAAGAGTATGCGAACATTTCCAATGATGTCTTTTAAGGCAGGGGTGCCAAACATACGGCCCGCGGGCCGGATCCGGCCCGTAGAGGTGGTTCATCCGGCCCGCCGTCTGCTTCTGAAATTTTCCGCATGGATTGAGTGTCAGCACAAATTTAAGTGAAATTTTATGGGTGCGGCCCGCAAGCATCTGCAGGGTAAGGAATGCGGCCCG